TAGCTAGCTTGGTTCTCGAGATATAGAGCTTAGAAGTTAGGGCGCCGCGCAAGGAGGAGCGCGCGCCGCCATTTCCCTGCGTCTCCACAGCGAGAGGCGCCGCCATTTCTCTGCGTCTCTCGCTCTCTCGCCGGCTGGAGCGCCCTAACTTCTAAGCCATGTATCTCGAGAACCTAGCTAGCTATTGAAAAAACTTCCAACTAGTAAAATATCCGAAATTTTGTAAGCTACATTTTCCAATTAAAATTCTTTATCTAGCTCTTCTAGTTTTCAAGCTAGAAGCCAATTTCCAAACCATACCCCATAATCCACTACAACTTTCTGTTGACCAGTGTCTTCAGCTGATCCGCACTGACCATTTGTCACTAAATCGATTGAAAAGTCAATTTTAATATTTTCAGGCCTTTTTGCCTAAAAACCTCCTCAACAAGTGAGAAATTTGAATTTCCCGCCGCCGCCGCTGCCTCATTTCTGACAGCCAACGCTGTCGAATTCACCATACAAGTCATGGTTAGTGCGAAATGGATTCGCATGAAAGTCGTGCAAAAGAAGCCGACCTAAAAATTCAAATTTTCAAATTTTCTAAAATTTAAAATTTTTTAATTTTTCATAAAATTTGCGTTTTCGAGTAAATTTTTAAAAACTTTCAAATTTTCGAACTTTTCAAAGAATTTTTCATTTCTCAATTTTCGAAAAATTAATAATTTTTATTTGAAAAAAATCTGAATTTTTGAAATATTAAAATTTGAAATTTTGGATTTTTTTTAATTTCGAAACTTCGATTTTTGTCAGTTTTTGATTTTTTTTTTTGGAATTTTTGTTGATTTTTCAATTTGTTAACATTTTAAAATTATGAATTTTTTGAATTTTTGAAGAAAAAAGTTTTCAATTTTTTAATTTTTCAAATTCCAAAATTCAAGTTTTCGAAAAATTTGATTTTTAAAAAGTTTTTAAATTTCAAAAAAATCCTTACCATACATAGCAAAATTATGTGTAATCTTCTAGAAAACGGATGAAAAAGTGCCAATTTTTCAGCCATTTTTTGGAATTTTTAGATTTTTTTGAAAAAAATTTTTAGACTAAAAAATATTTCAGAGGAACTTATGATTTATGATTTTCTAGTTTTCGTAGTTTGCTGATTTTTTTTGATAACAAAAAAAATTTTTTGGATTTTTGGTGTCAAATTTTTCTGGGGGAAAATAGCGGAAAAATGTGAAGTTTGAACCTGAAAAAAGGTAAAAAAATGGGGAAAAAAAAAGGAAAATCAGAAGTCACAAAATTCCAAAAAAAGGGGACAAATAATTTATTTTTGGAGCTTATTTTTGAAGAAAGAATGGAATTTTTTTGAGGAAAAAAATTCTGAAAAATTCTTTAAAAAAATGAACAAGATGGGAAAAAAATGTTTCAGAAGATCATGATGAGAAATTGGGGCGATTTTTGGGTCGATTTAGGCACTCGTCTCTCCGGTTTCTCCGTCCTGACCGCCGACGTAGAGCACGTTGTTGCATCTGAAAATTTGGGGATTTTCAGTAGAAATTTGGGCTTTTTAGAAGGAAAAATGGCATTTTTTCATGAAAATTGGTCCAAAATTTGCTAAAAATTGTTCAAAAATGCCTTTAACTGAGTCAAAATTAAAGATATAAAATTAGCTGAAAATGGTCTGACGTTCACTGAAAATGACTCGAAATTTAGAAAAATGGTATAAAATTCAAAAAAAATGTCCAAAATACACTGAAAGCGGCCAATCAGAAATCACCCGAAATCAACTAGAAATCGACCAAAATAGGCTCAAAATGGGCCGAAATTAAATTTAGCCAAAAATCTTGAAAAATAGCCTAAAATTCACAGAAAACCCCGAAAAAATAGCCAGAAATGCCTAAAAATAGACCAAATGACTCGAAAATAAAAAAGTAAACATTTTCAAAAATGGTCCCAAATTGACTAAAAATGGCCAAAAATACCTTGAAAATGGTCAAAAAAATCACTGAAAACGACCCTAACTTCACTACAATAATCCGAAATTAACTGAAAATGGTTCGAAAATTCATTGAAAATTGTCAAAAAAATGCCAAAAAATGGTCCAAATAGCATTAAAAATTGTTCAAAATGACCAAAGTTTCGCTTTCTGAGAGCAAAAATGACGCGAAAATTCGACTTTTTAAGCCTAAATTAGTGAAAAACCGCTCAAAATTCAGCTTTTCAACCCTCGCTAGCAGTAAATCTATCTACCTGATGAGAATCTCTCCGAGATTTCCCGTGTTGTTTCCGTCGATGTACTCCTCGGCGTTGGCGAGCTGCAGGTTCATGTACGAGTCGACGGCGACGAGAATTCCTGAAAATTTTTTTTGGATTTTTCCTCGAAAATCCGGTCAAATCGCCGTACCTTTGTACTCCATTCCCCACTTGAGCTTGCACACGACGTTCTTGCCGGTGAGACTGTTCAGGAATGGCTTTGGGTTGACTGGCTGGACGGCGGACATTGTTTTTGCTGGAAAAATTTCGGGAGAAAATCGATATTTCGAATAGAAATACAGTTTGAAACGGTGCAAGGAAGCCTAGAAAATAGTAAAAATTAACTTCTTTAAAATTTCAAAAAAAAAATTATTTTTTTAATTTTTTCTGAAATTTTTTTAGATTTCCACAGAAATCGATATTTTCAAAGTTTTCGCATGGAACACCCTAGGTAAAACCTGCTAAACCGGAGAAAGAAGCCGGAAAATCAAATTTCCCAATTTTTTTCGAAAAAGTGCTGAAAACTTCGGTTTTTTCGGGATTTTCAGCTTGAAAATCGTTAAAAATAAATTTTTCTTCATTTTTTACAACTTTTCAGCATCAAAAACCAAGAAACACGAGCAAAAATCAGATAGAAATGACCTAAATTCGAGGTGAAAATTCGAAATCTCGAAATGCGTCAAATACGACGACACATTGCGGAGTGCACAGAGTACACTGAACTTGACGACAATTGGAGATGAAAAGCATTCTGAAGGCGTTCCACGTGGCTTCTAGCTTGATTTTCAGAGTTTTAAAGGGTTTTTAAAGATTATAAAAATTTTCGGAAAGTTTTCGACAGATATTTCATCATTTTAACGATTTTTAAACCGATTTGAAGGCTTTGAGTTCCGGGTTACTGTAGTTTTTCGGAATTTTTTTAAAAATTGAATTTTCTTGGTTTTTCATCGAAAATTTTCTTTTTTTTTCCGGAATTTCAAGTTTGCAGCTATCGAAATTTCCATTTTATTCATTTAAAACTGAAAATTTCAAGAGTGAGAGAGTGAGAGACGCAGAGAAGGCTCGGTCTCTCTTCTCATTAAATGACGTCATCTGCTCATCTATTTCCGCATATCCCGCCAATGTTTCCTGCCAATGTTTCCCCAAAACTGTCAAAACCGGTCGCCGAAACCACCGAAACACAATGATGCAAATTTCTATTGATAAAAACATCTTTTATCAATTTTTCCGCTTTTTTCTCGCTTTACAATTTTTTCTGACTATAAAAATTATAAAAATTTCAGATTTCCAGCTAAAAACAGTCCGAAAAACCGCGAAAAATGACACAGGTAAGTTTTTGAAATTTTTGAAATAAAAATTAAAATTTCTCACCAAAAAACAATTTTCAGTACGTCTTCGAGATGGCGATGACTTGCGGCGGATGCGCCAACGCCGCTCGGCGAGTTCTTGGAAAACTAGGAGGTAAATTTTGAATTTCGCGCGCAAATTCGTCAAGCGCGCTCCACCAGACTACAAACTACAAAATTTAAATTTTTAAATTTTTAGCTTTTTTTGGCCCATTTTAGCCGATTTTTAGCGGATTTTTTGCAGAAGACAAGGTGAAAATCGACGATATCAACGTGGAGACGAAGAAGATCACCGTCACCACGGATCTTCCCGCATCTGAAGTGCTCGAGGCGCTGAAAAAGACTGGAAAGGAAATCAAGCAATTGGCCTAAAATTTAACATATTCTGTATTTTTTCTCTCATGGTTGTGTGGGTGTTTGTGTGTGAATAAAATTATTTAAACTTCAATTTTCCTGCGCATGGCTGAAGCTCAGCGACCTGGACATCCGGTTTTCACACAGAAGGCGTCGGGAGTCTTCAGAATTCTCCGCTCGTCTTCTGATTCCTGGCACCTTCTGAAAGCCAGTGTGGTGAGCGGCGGCGTGGCAAATCTCTTATAAGAGGATTTGTTCGCGTTGCTCATCCACATTGGTTGGATGAGGAATTTTAAGAAAAAAAATCGGAATTTTATTAAAAAATCAACAAAAAAAACGGATAATTTGAGATTCTGGAAGATTCTAGACATTATCTGAAGGTAGGCGGAGCGTTTATCCCCAGAGAAGGCTCATCACGGTGAGTGGAATGACCTGGAAATTTTATTTTTAAAGAAAAACTTGGTTTGATGAGTGCTGTCGGAGGCGGTGCGTGTCGCGTCGCGGCTCCCAGAAACGATTTTTAGGCGGTTTTCGGCTCAAAAAGGTCATTTTTAAGGTTTTTTCAGCAATTTTAGAGTCTTTTAGGCGATTTTTCATTAAAAAATGGACCAATATAGGCCGATTTCCACCGAAAATTCGGCGAATGGATTTTTCCAGCCTGAAATCTACCAAAATTTTGTTGGATTTTAGGTGGAAAAATAGCAATTTTCAGGGTTTTTGAGCTGATTTTTAGGTCATTTTCAACCAATTTTCACTCCTACCTGCCCATTTGGCATTGGCTCGGCGCCCTTCTTGAATCCCAAATACACGACGAACGGCACGAATCCCCATTGAATGGCCAGTGTGGAGACGTCGACGGTCTTGCCGATGAATGACTTGGTGGCTGGGGAGAGCTTCATCTTTTCTGGGATTTTTCTGGAATTTTCGGGATAAAAATATATGAAAAATGAGACAAAAATAGCTAGAAATTCGGCAAAAAAACCGGAAACATTACAAAAAAAATAGAAGGAAAATGGAATTTTTCATTGAACAGGAGGCAATAAATTAGGGAGAAATATTAAAATTGGACTTAGAATGCAGAATAAATCACAAAAAAGGAATTATGTCGATCCAGGTGGCCTTCAGAAACCTCCCACACGATCACGTGGAATCAGACGGAGCTCACTTCCGTGCTTCAGGAAGATATTTCCGGCGGATTGAGCTGGATTGATGCCGACGCCGTCGTTGGTGATGATAGCGGACGTGGCGGCGGGCACTTTGAATTCCTCGGCGGCGTATCGGAGGACGGAGGTGAATGGAGCGGCTTCAGGGACGGAAAGACTGGAAAACCGATATTGTGAAAGAAAATTTGAAATTCTGGCTGAAAATCCTGGAAAAATAATGCAAATTTCAGCGTTTTGTAGGCGCGAAATGTATTGATTTTTGGGGTGAAAATCCAAGAAAAATGATGCAATTTTGGGTTTTTTGAGGCGGAAATTTGAATTTATTGCTGAAAATCGATCAACTTACACCTTGAACGGAAGTTTCGGGTCACTAGTCAACGTGATCTTGAAGGTGACCTTGGCAGCCGGCGCCGATGCTTCTCCGGACATTTTCTGGAACAAAAAACGTTCTCTTAGCGATAAGGCAGGTTCTAGAGATGGCTGGAAAGTGAAAAATCAAGAAAAAGCCTCTAAAAATGATCTAAAAATCTTATTTTCCGAAAAAATTGGAAATTTTTATTTTTCCTGATTTTTCAGCGATTTTGCATCATTTTCCGACGAAATCCGTCGTAAAATTGTTCTAAAACTGCAAAAACATCCCTAACATCGGTCTTAAACACCTTTAAAACTTTTTTTCCGGAAAAATTGAAAAATTCGATTTTTCGGCGATTTTCCTCGATGTTTGGCGAATTTCCCGACGAAATCTGTCGCAAAATTACTTTAAAAGTCGCCGAAAAATTATTTCTCAGAAAAAAACCAAGAAAAACGCGCTGAAACAGCCAAAAAATCCCTGAAAAACCCGAAAATCCAGCGGAAAAATGCCAAGTGTCCCGTCTCGAAAACTCGGCCAGCCGGGTAGTTTCTAGACCACCGGTTTTGAGATGGTAAATTTAGATTTTCAGGGTGAGAAAGCAGCGAAACTAGTGGTTTTTTATGTTCTAATATAGCAAAAATTCTGGAAAACATGATAAAAATTAGGGAAATTTGAAAAAAAGTTCGTTTTAGGCCTAAGAATGTTGTAAAAACTAATAAATTTGACGGGTGGCCGAGGTTTTGCAGCGGTGTAGTCCGTGTGGAAAAGTTTATTTTTCTCGTAATTTCTCAATTTTCTTTGGTTTTCAAGCGATTTTTTTTTTGCTAAAAAAAGGCGTTTAGAAGATGAAACGAGCTACAAATCTACTCCTTGTCCCTCGACGCATTCAAAATTTGCGTTTTCTCTCCGAAAAAGCCGCCGGCAACCTGGCTATGGAGCCAGGAAAGAAGACCACACATTTCGGGTTCACAGATGTCGATGAAGAGGAAAAAGAGAAAAAAGGTGCGATTTTAACGATTTTTCAATCCGTTTCAAGTGAAAAAGATCGATTTTCAGTGCACCATGTCTTCGCGAATGTCGCCAAAAAGTACGATTTGATGAATGACGCAATGTCAATGGGAGTTCATCGGCTCTGGAAGGATTACTACGTCGGCGGCCTTCAGATTCCCTACAACGCCAAGATTCTCGACATGGCCGGGGGGACCGGAGACATTGCTTTTCGGCTTTTAAGGCATTCTCCGACTGCCAAAGTGACAGTATCGGATATCAATCAGCCGATGCTGGATGTGGGGAAAGAGAGAGCAGAGACGGAGAGAGATGTGAGTTATTTGCCTGTTTTCATCAAAATTCGGCTGGGGGTGGGCACCCAAATTTTTTGAATTTGGCGCCAAAATGCGGGTGTCTCCAGAGGAAGGGAAATAAAATGTTGAAAAAAAATGTTGAAAAAAAAATGTTGCAAAAAAAATTTCAGCTAAAAATTTGCAATTTTCACTGATTTTCGCCAATTTCAGCACTTTTTTCCATTTTGGAAAAATCAAAAGCTGCGTCAATTCTAGTGAAAAATTGCCTAAACATTCAAAATTTCAGCAGAAACCTGCTTTAAAATTGATTAAAAATGCCTTACAATAACCTGAAATTGACCTAAACACGCTCAAAAATCCCTGAAAATTGCTGTTTTCGACCTAAATTTCATAACAATACGGCTGTTTTTAGTGGAAAATGGCATAAAAATCCATAATTTCGCCTGAAATTCGCTAAAAATTGATGAAAATTGCTTAAAATAGCTCTGGAAACCTTGAAAATCACAGAAAAAAAACTCAAAAAACTCTGAAAATGTCTGTTTTTCGACGTAAAATACGGCAATGGAAAATGGCCAAAAAATTCAAAATTTCAGCGGAAAATCGCGCAAATTTTGTGAAAAAAGGGATAAAAACCTTTAAAAAATCTGCTGAAAACAGCTCAAAAAATCCTGAAAATGGCTTAAAATAGTCCAAAAAGCTTATAAAACCATAAAAATTGCAATATTTAAACCCAATTTTTACCGAAATACAACTATTTCAAGCGAAAAATGGCTTAAAAATCAATATTTTTAGCTGAAAACTGTCAAAAAAATCATGAAAAATAGTCTAAAATAGCTCTCAAAAATCCCTGAAAATGGCGTTCAAAACCCTCAAAATTGCTTTAAAAAGCTTGAAAATTGCTATTTTTCGACCTAAATTTCATAAAAATGCTATTTTTAGTGGAAAGTGATCTAAAAAATCCAAATTTTCAGCGGAAAACAGCCCAAAATCTCCTGTAATGGCCTTAAAAACTCGAAAATGGCTCAAATGTAGCTCGAAACCTTCTGAAAAAGCTCAAAACCCCTGAAAATTATGCAATTTTTCATTAGAAAATGACCTAAATTTCCAAAATTTCAGTTGAAAATCGCTTTAAAATTATGAAAAATGACCTAAACACCTCAACAATTTGCTGAAAAAAGCTCAAAAAATTGCTGTTTTTCGACCTAAAATAGCCTAAAAATCGCTCAAATTTGATTTTTTTTTGCAAAAAATCCATAAATCCGCTTCCAGATCAACCCCTCCCGCTTGAAATGGATCTGCGCCAATGCCGAACAAATGCCGTTCGAATCCAATACCTACGATTTGTTCACAATGTCATTCGGAATTCGAAATTGCACACATCCCCAGAAAGTGATCGCCGAGGCATTCAGAATTCTGAAGCCAGGAGGTCAACTGGCGATTCTCGAATTCTCGCAAGTCAACGCCGCGTTGAAGCCAATCTACGACGCCTACTCGTTCAATGTGATTCCGGTGCTTGGAGAGATACTAGCTAGCGATCGCCAGAGCTATCAATACCTCGTGGAATCGATTAGAAAGTTCCCGAACCAGGACGAATTCGCCAGAATTATCAGGGAGGAGGGATTCGAGAGAGTCACTTATGAGAATATGACTTTTGGAGTTTGCTCGATTCACAAGGGAACTAAGCCAAGGAAATAAAGATTTTTTTGCTGTTTTTTTTTGTAGATTTCCATCCATTTTCATCTATTTCTGCCATGTTTTTCCCCTTTTTTTCATTAAATGCACTATTTTTCTTATTTTCCAGTGATAATTCGAGTAGATTTTTGTCATTTTCCCGTTTTCCCTGTTATTTTTAATGCATAAATTTGTTTAAATTCGTCTTCACCCCCTTTTCAAGGGGTCTTTTCTCCAGGTCCCACCAGGTCCAGGTCACTTTTGATCCTTATTTTCTATCGAAAAAAAAAACTTTTTTTTATTGATTTTCTAGAAATTTAAAGCTATTCAATTTGAATTTTTTGTCGAAAAGTGCCTTGAAAACTTGAATTTTACTGATTTTTTTTTGAGATTTCTGCGATTTTTTTTTCTAGAAATTTCGTTATTTTTTGAGCATTTCAAGTCAAGAAAAAAACCGCTAAAAATCCATTTTCAGAGCCATATCTAGATGAAGCTGCGGAACGTGATTCAGCATGGGCTGAGAAGCTTTTCCAGCGGAAAAGTGGCATTTTCGAGGTAGGGAATTTTTCGAAAAACTTGACTAGACTTTGACCCGAAACATTGGAAATTTCGAAAAAAATGGTCGAAATTAGCCAATTTTTTGAAAATTTTGGCAATTTTCGAGCCTAAAAATTTTGAGAAACTGCTGAAAAATTCGAAAAATCGCCTATAAAATTGAAAAAAAATCGCTTGAAACCTCGAAAAATTGCTTAAAATCCAAAAAAAATCGGGTAAAAACTCGAAAAATCACTTGAGAACTCGAAAAAAAAGCCTATAAATGCAAAAAATTCGCTTTAAAATTTTGTAAAATTACCTAAAAAATCACTTTAAAACTCGAAAAATCGATCAAAATGTTGAGAAATTGCATGAAAAGTTTAAATTTTTGCTCAAAAATCCGAAAAATTCGCGAAAAAGTCGAATAATCTCTTAAAAACTCATTGAAATTCGCCCTAAATTCTCTTTTTTTCACCCCAAAATATGCATTTTACCATTCAAAAAAAAATCGAATTTCGGGCGGTTAAAAAAAAGTGGAAATATTCCAATTTTAGAGTCTGAAAATCAGGGGAAAATCCCCGAATTTTTAATATTTTTCAGCGATTTTGTCATTTTTCAGCGTTTCGGACCCACAAAAATCCAGTTTTTCAACGAAAAATCGCTTTAAAAATTTATTTTTACTCCGATTTTCACCCAAAAAAACTCAAAAAATCCCACTCCTCCTCCCTGCTAACCCCAGATTTCCCCCATTTTCCAGCCCCAAAATAACCGTTTTCTTTCAAAATACAGATTCAGAAGCGCCACAACTCCGACGCTCAAAGAAATCGGCCTCCTTCTACCCTCCACGAACACAACGCCGACTTTTGAAGCTGGACAAGTAGGCTTCTGAGGCTGACGTCTTCTTCTAAAAATCGCTTTTTTAAGATCTTCATCCATCGTACATTCGCCTATAAAGGCGTCGTCGTTTGTTCGTTTCCATGCAGGCTTCATGAGAAACGCAGTCAGCAAAAGTGATTTTTAGGGGAAAAATTTCAATTTTTCAATTTTTTTTTTCAGCGAAAAACATCTGACGACTCGCGACTTCTATCAGGTGCTCATTCATCGTCATGATTGGAGCCATATGGGATTTCCAGTGGATATCACATCGTATTTGGTTGATGCACCCATGGAGAATAAGCGGCACGGGCAGAAAATGTTAACGTTGATCAAGTAAGTGCAGTCGGAGGCATTGCGTGCGCGTCGCGGCTCGCCACGTGGCTTCTTCCCCTGGAAGCGTTGCGGCTCCCAGCTTTGACCTTAAGCAAATGTTTCCAGCGGAATGGATTGTGTTTCCCATGAAGACATCATCCCTTTCACGCCTTCTGGAGGCGTGAATTTCGACCACGACCTTTTCGATCTCATCTTCAACGCCGCCCACGATGGAACTGGGCTCTACAACGTCGCCATGAAGCCAGAGCTCGTTGAACGATACACAAACTCCAATAGATCGTGGCTGGGCCCGCGTGACGTCTACCGGGAACGAACTGAGAACATCGAGGTGACGGTGATGACGTTCTATCTTGGCGCGAATATGGTTGGTGGACAGCAGCAACACATGTGGAGATATGTGATTCGAATTGAGAACAAGAAGCCGGAGAACGGGGTGATTCTAAGGGAGAGGACGCTGAAGGTGTACTCGTTGAACAATATGAATCAAATGCATGGGCATGGTGTTGTTGGAAAGCAGCCTGAGCTGAATGCTGCTACACCGGCTTTCCAGTTCAGTAGCACGCTGGAGTTGAAGCATACCAAAGGAGGTCATATGTGGGGACGCTTCAAAATGGAACGGGAGAATGGTGTGCTCTTCGATGTTCACATTCCAACGATTGTGTTCGAGTCTACAGAAGAAATCAATGATACCCCGATTGAGACTCCTGATGCTGCATAAAAACCTCTGAATTTTTTTTTGATTTATTGTACAAATATTTTCTTGTTCCTTCTTTTTCTTTCATCTAGTATTTCAATCCCTGACGGTGTTATTTTTCAACTTTTACTTATCCCAGGTGATTCTCTAGCTTTTAATAAAGTTTTCTGTTCCGTATTCAGTGGTCTAACATAAGCAACAAATTTCATTGAAATTGAACAAAAACATATGTCCAAATCTGGATAACAATGAAGACAAGCCACTTAAGCCTTGACAGCGAACTTTCTGACTCCGGCGTAACGGGACTTGGCCAACTGCTTGGCGGACTTGAGGGATTGCTCGTGGGCGGTCAATCTTCTGCGGATAGCGCGGGTCTTCTTGTAACGAAGGTCGATTGGCTTGTACTGCAAATTTTCGAAATGTTACGAAATGAAAAAAAAAATCATTGCAAAATTTACCTTGTGCTCGGAGTAGAACTTGCGGAGCTCTTGCTTTTGGGTCTGGTTGATGACGGTCAAAACTCTGGCGATGTTCTTGCGAACAACACGGATCTTGGAGAGTTTGGAGGCGGCTCCTCCGGTGACCTTGGAGACACGGAGGGTGGCGAGCTCGGTCTTCTGCTCGTCGAGGGTCTTGGAGAGAGCCTCCTTCTTCTGTCCGCGGAGATTCTTGGTCTTCAGCTTAGTCATGACTGTAGTGGTAACCCTGGAAAAGAAAATTGTTGGAATAATTGTTCGAGTTGCGCTCAGTTGCGAAGAATTGGGTGAAAGAAGAGAAAAAAGTAAAGGTGAGAGAAAATAGTTTTCTTCGAGCTTGTCAAAAGCAAACATCCATATAATAGCGAGTTTTCACTAAAATTCGATTGAAAGCAAATCCTTCCAAAATTGTCTCGATTTGCCACGAAAAACAGCCTGTGAATCCGGAATATGTTCCCGCAAACACTCACAAACTCATTTATAAGCTTCGCGATCGATAGAAAGCTAAATTTGGGAAAACACAAGAAAAATGCGTTTTCTGGCCTAAAGTTTAATCGACGATTTCGACGGTTTTTCATGCAAAACTTGGGTCAAAAATCATATAAATCGACTCAAAATAATTTTCCTAACAAACTGAAACAGAAATTTCATGGAAAATCTGAAAATTTTGCTGAAAAATAGGCGAAAAGAAAAAAATGCGACAAATTTCTGCCTACAATTCGAGTGCGGCACGGAAAAGAGGGCGGAGACTGCGAGAATTGCATTCTGCGGCGCGGTTCTTGTACACTCCGCCAAAACACGCTCCGTAATGTATGAAAAGCGCGCGCGTTTTGAATGGCGAGATTTTAGGCCAAGGCCCGGGCGGTGGGGAAGAATTTTCAGATTTTGGGGATTTTCCGACGGATTTTCGCAGAATTTTCTGGAAAAATGACTGTAAATCGAAAAAAGAACCTTAAAAATTGCATTGTAATGCGATTTTTTGCCGAAAAAGTCGATATTTTCAGTCAAAAAAGAAAAAAATTGAAAGAAAAAAAAATTTTTTTTTCGAGAAAAAATTCAAAAAAGTGGAGTTAAAACACAGAAAAAGCAATAAAATAAAAAGGCAAATATTGTTTTCTATACGATGGGGCTCTCCCAAGAGCATCCACTCGGATTGTTGGTCAAACAGAAAAAAACAACAAAAAAAAGAGAGAGAGCCAGCGGTCAGAAATGGAATATCGTTTTTCATTTCTTTTCTTTTCTATCTTTTCGACTCATTGTTCGGTCCCATTTGGCCATCTGTCTTGAAAAAAAAAATGCGTCCGCTTCAAAAAAAAAAGACAAGAAGAGAAACACTGGCTATACGAAACCAGAAGAGGGTGTTTGTCAGTTTTTTTCGTGTGACAACCCGATTTTTTATATTTTTGGGAGGAAAAAATTTTGTCTAGTTTGAAAATTTTCGAATTTTGAAGCCTAAAAGTTCTTTAAAAATGTTTTTAGGTCAAAAATTCCTGATTTTTTGCAATTTTCTCCTAAATTCCATGGCATTAGCCCCTTGGGAAGTGTCCTAAAACACAAATCTTGTTGCAAAAATTCGCAAAAAAAAGGGGGAAAATCGGCCCATTTTTTGGGTGTCGTTTCTTGGGATGTCTCTACGATTTGACATTTTTCGAATTTTCGAGAAATTCGAAACAAATTCACATTGATGGACACAGCATGTCCTGGGAATTGGGGTCAGATTTTGTATCTATGATCTTGCCACGTCATCAGATGGATATTCTGGAGATTTTGAAATTTTTTAAAAATCCAAGAGATTCCAAAAATTCCGAAAAACCCAAAATTCTAACAATTGCGAAAATTCAAAAAGATCAAGAGTTATTTGATTTTTTCGGATTTCCTGAAAAAAGAATTATTTTGGAAAATTCGGAAAAATTTGAAAATTTCCAGAAAATCGGGAAAATTAGAAAAATGAATTTTTGAAAATTCTAAAACATCGAAACGTTTAGAAGAATTCCGGATTTTTTAAATTCCGGAAAAATTCCGAAAATCCATAAAATTCCAAAATTCCCAAAAATCTCGGAATTCCCTAAAATTTCAAAAATTCAAAAATTCTGAAAATTTCCAAAAAATCAGAAATTTTCAAACATTCCGAAAATCCAAGAAATTCTGAAATATTCCAAAAATCCCTAAAAATCCGAAAATCCAAAAATATCGAAAATATTAATTAATCCCAAAATTCTAAAAAGTTTCAAAAAATTCCAAAATTCTGAAAATTTCCAAAATTCCAAAAAATCCAAAAATCTCAAAAAAATCCAAAATTCCAAAAACCTAAATAATCTGAAAATTTCTAAAAATTCTAAAAAATCGGAAATTTTCAAAAATTCCAAAAAATTCTGAAAATTTCAAAAAATACCAAAAATTCAAAGAATCCCTAAATTCCAAAAAAAAAAACCCGAAAATTCAGATCCTTACATTAGATTCTTAGATTCTTAGATCCTTCTGGACCCAATATTCCCCTCCCTCGCATATTATAATATCTGGCTGAGCAAACAAAACATTCCCAAATCCTCCCTCAAAAATTTCTTTTTCCTTTTTGTTCCTCTTGGATCTTATATCCTCCCCATCTCTATATCTGCACGTATCCACTGAATTCGTAATGTCTCTTTTTCCCCCAGTTGCCCCTGGCAACTGGGAAATTTGGCTTTTTTGGCTCTTTTTTCAGCTAGAATAACATTTTTAGCTCGAAAACTAGCCGAATTTTCTAAGAATCTGAAAATTAGAGTGATTTTAATATGTTTCCTGTACTCTAAATAGCAAGAAAAAGATATTAAGCTAGGATGGGAGTCGAACCAGGGACACGAGATTGGTAGTCAAATCTGTTAGCCAATAGGCCACAGTGGGTCTATTGGCCACCACAAAGGTTGACGGAGGCGCCACCGACTACCTTTTTTCTCACACGCCCTTTTCTCATATGGATTCTACCTCATTACCTCAGAATGCACGCGTGGCCTAGTGGCTTGCGTTTTTGCCCACCAATCTGACACTTCCGAGTTCGACTCCCCGCTGTGCTTTTTTCTTTTTGCTTCTTTTTATAAGCATCCTAGATGCTTTAAATAGTGTTTTTAAGGTTCCCCAGTAGTTTTTAAGGTAGAGAGACGCAGAGAAGCCAGAGTTCCTTGTTTCTCTGGGTCTCTAGGCCATAACTCAGCTAGTTTCAAAGTTATCAAAAAACTGTTAACTAAAAAGTTGTGTAGAATTTCAATCTTCACATTTTCTTGTTAGAAATTCTTCGCTAGCTATTTCAGTTCTTGAGATATTCAGATTTTTTTCTCGGTGCACATATCATCTTTCAGGACTAGTACTTTGCACATATTATACATAGAAATTCCATATTTTTTGTTTGTTTGTACGTTTTCTATATTAAAATCTGATCTGAAAAATGCGAAAAAAGAAACAACTATATACATTCTTTGGGGGTATCGGGTTACCCCTCACTGACCTCTTCCCGCCTTTTTTTAGTGGTCAGGGGTAATTTTTCTCTATTTTTTTGCTTTTAGGCAAAGTTAATCTGAAAAAGCTAAATATTCTACACATTTTTTTAGTTTACAGTACTTCGATAGCTAGAAAATTTGCTGAGATATAAGCCATATAAGTTTTTTGTCCAGTGGAGCGCACTTACTTCTTTCTTTTTTTTTTATTTTGAAAAAATCTGAGCTGTTTTAAGTTCTTAGCAACATTCTATCGATTGCTCCCCAATTTTTTCAAATTGGTGCCGCGTCACCGCGCGCAAGCGCGCTCCGCCGCACCCTCTCGTTTCTCTGTGTCTCTCTTCACTTTTCAAGGCGCATAACTCGCCTAGTTTCAGAGCTACGGAGATACTGTAAACTAAAAAGTTTTGTAAAATTTTAAGCTCTACATTTTACTAGTTAAACATTTTTTGCTAGCACTCATGGTTTTCGGAAAAATTTTGAAAATTTGCACCCACTTCTTTTTCATCATCTTTTTAAACCTTTGCTAAGTCCCAATCAGTCATTTTCCTTCTCATTTTTTGCACCAAGTGCTCCTCCTTTTAATCCCAGAGAGTTCCAAGAAGAAACTTTTACTATTTCTTTTTTTTTTGGAAAAAAATTTGGCGACGTCTTCTTTTTCTTCTTCTTGTTCTACTTGTTAAGACGAAGAAAATGGGATGGACAAGAAGAAGAAGAAAAAAAAAAGAAGAAAAAATGTTTCAATGGGGGAACAAAAAAGACAAGAAAACGAGCATTTTATCGGTTTCCTTCTATTCCCAAAATTTTTTCCCTTTCTTTTTTCGGTTTTTCTGGGACAAGAATTTGTGTTCTTCGAAGTGGATCTATCTATAACTAGATTTGCACCTTTTTCTGTTGAAAAAACGTCACTTTTCCCTCTTTTTTTCTTTTTTACACCAAGAAATTTGATACCTTTCTCTCCTTTTTTTCGACTAGTAGTAGCAGTAGTAGTGACCACTCTTCATGAAAAAAAAAACAAAAGAGAAATTGGGAACCCGGGAGTCGAACCCTGGTGTGGAGATTGGTGGTCAGTGTTGTTAGCCAGTACACCAAAAGCGCAGTATGACTCGTCGCTCGACTCAATACCTTTATAAACCCGCGCCCTAAGAGGTCGCGCCACCACCCTCCTTTATCATTGACCTCCACTCTCTAGACAACCGTACACGCGTGGTGCAGTGGCATACGCTTTTGGTCATCAATCTGAAGGTCCGGGGTTCGACTCCCAACTCGTGTAACTTCTTTTTTCTTCTTTTTTGTAAGCTCCAAACAGGTTCTAGGAAGTTCCTCATTGCTCTTATCCCTTCTCATACTCCTAAAAGCCTCTCTAATTGTATCTCTGCGCCTCCTGCTATCACCACGCTCTCTAAAATCCGTCGATTTAATTGCAACTTGAAGAAGAAGAGCATCTTCTTCCTTTTTTTTCTCCCATCTTTTTACTTTTCGCCTCTTAATTCAGTTTGTTAGAAGAGAGAATTAGAGAAAAAGAGAGGCTTTTTCTTTGCAAAGAAAAAATAGAGGAGCCCAAAAAGTTTTACAGAATTTTCTATCAATTTTGGTTTTGACCGTCTTTGACGTCATGCTGTACGAATTAATTAGAATTTGTTGGCCAGGCTACAGTAGGAAACTCGAAAAGGCACTTGAGGGTCGAAAAAGTAAATTGGATTTTTCCTTTTTTTGACTCGTCAAGTGGTTATGAGCTTCCCAGAACACTTGAACAACTTTCCACATTTTCCAAAATGCTTGAAAAAAAATAAAAAAGAAAATTGGCTAGAGGGGGTTTGAACCCAAGCAGCTGGGAACATGGAAAACTTGAAAAACATAGTTTCGTTGGGTTTTCAGTAATTTAAAATGTGTTACCGGGGTCCTCAGGAAAATCAGAAAAGATTTGACCGCACTTGGAATCGAACTCGGGTCGTGAGATTGGTAGATCAAGTTGCTAACCAGTACACCACAGGTGCGCAGGGTGCACCCACCCCTTTCTCACCTTCGCGCCACCACCTTCGCGCCTCCATCACCGCGTCCTCCTTTATAATTTGAAAGCCACACAGTTCCTTCTAGTGACACCGTGGCGCAGTGGTTGTGCTTTTGCCTTTGAATCTAACAAGGGAACCATGTTTAGCCTTCATCTCAGAATTTTTTCTAAATTTGCTCATTTATAGTTTCAAATACGGGCTTTCTTTTGATCTATTTGGTTTTCTGCACAAATTTCTAGAAGCCGAGAAAAGTCCATCTGAAAATATGCTGTTTTTTCGGTCTCCTCCTTCCCTTCCACTTTCCCCCCTTTCCTCTATACATTCTCCACTGTGGAAGAAACGAGCAACAGTGGCCGAGTGGATAGTGGGGATGAATAGTAATCACAAGTTTGGGGTTCGATTCCGTCATTGTCCATTTTCTTTTTTCTTTTTTTCTTTGATGTTGGAGGAATGCTTTGAACTTTTCGAAAATCAAAACTATGTTTGCTCTATTATTTCAGTAGGAAAAAAGCTCGAAAAAGATAATTTTTGAAAAATTCTTGAAGCACTGCTGAAAAGCCTTATCTACTCAAAATGTCAGTCGAAATCCCCCGATTTGATCATATTGGTTGCGGAACTGTTATAAATCAGTCAATAGGTATGTAAATCTATGTTTTCACAATATTTGAGTGCTTTTGGGTGATTTTCGAAGGACTACGATTCATTGGAGTTTTGGAAGAAATCACTTATTTCGGATTTCAAAACGGATATAGGCTACAGAATCTTGTGAAAAGACTCATTTTATCATTTTTTATGAGTTTAGAATTCATTTTAGCACATTTAAACAGTTTTCGAAAAATTTAAAATTTCGCAAAGGGTTTAAAATTTCACCATGGCAAAAATTTTTTCAAAAACTTTTTTTTTTGAAAAATGAGGAAACTTTGTCAGATTGTAGAGAAACCTTAAAAATTGCGATTGACACTCAAACAATGCCAAAAAACTCCCATTAACCCTTTCAAAAACTCACTCCAAAAGTGAGAAATTAGTACTGAAATCACTTAAACAGCCCATAACTCGACTTCTAGAAATTTGTGCAGAAAACCAAATACATCACAAGAAAGCCCGTATTTGAAACTATAAATGAGCAAATTTAGAAAAAATTCTGAGATGAAGGCTAAACATGGTTCCCTTGCTAGATTCAAAGGCAAAAGCACAACCACTGCGCCACGGTGTCACTAGAAGGAACTGTGTGGCTTTCAAATTATAAAGGAGGAAGCGGTGATGGAGGCGCGAAGGTGGTGGCGCGAAGGTGAGAGAGGGGTGGGTGCACCCTGCGCACCTGTGGTGTACTGGTTAGCAACTTGATCTACCAATCTCACGACCCGAGTTCGATTCCAAGTGCGGTCAAATCTTTTCTGGTTTTCCTGAGGACCCCGGTAACACATTTTAAATTACTGCAAACCCAACGAAACTATGTTTTTCAAATTTTCCATGTTCCCAGCTGCTATTTCGTACCTAAAATCTCATTAAAGTCGTAAAGAGCAAAAGTACAATACTCTCCTTCTCTCTCTCTCTCTCGAAGACTCTCTATCTCTCGACGACTCCATTACCATTGCTCATTGCAAATGACATCCAGGATAGGCTCCGCCCCTTTTCTTCTGCCCTGGGGCGAAAAAAGAAAAAAGTGTTTGCCATTCCTGACTAATAATTCATCCCTGAGGCTTAACCAATTTTTTTCTCTTCTTCTTCATCTCACCACAGAGAGAAAACTCACATAAATCAGATGGAAGGTCAAAGACTTTTGGGGAGGAGCAGAGTGTGTTGGATGTTGAGAGAGATCATTCCCCAATCATTTTATCACCTTCTTTCTCTCTTTTTTCGCCGCCTTTTTATCATTTTATCACCTCTGTTTTCGCCGATTTTCTGGTTTTTCTCACCTAGCCTACTTTTTGATGGCCACTTTTTGTGTTGGGAGACTCTACACAAAAACCAAAAACAGTTTGAGCCACCTGGGGTTCGAACCCGGGTAGTGAGATTAGTAGACAGGGTTGTTAGCCAGTAAACCACGGTGGTACGGGCTACCTAGGTAGCGTTACCACCACCACCGCTCGCCACCGCGGCGCTCACCACTGAGGGCGCCGCGTCACACCTTCCTATACGCCCTTTACCTCCACCACAACTTTGCGCCCTGTGGCTCACTGGTTACCGTTTTGTCTTTGAATCTAGAGGTCGCGGGTTCGAACCCAACTGGTGCCATTTTCTTTTTTATTGTTTTTTAGGATGAAAGAACAGGGTTTTTCGTGTTTTTTTGCTATTTACAACCAGTTGTTCCATCAATTCCCACTTGTCAAATGGAATGTTAGTAGGTGTTCTTTAGTTTTAGTAGTGTCGTTTGTTCGCAAGTGCTAAATTTTTCTCTAGTTTTTAGTTTTCTTCTAGAACCTAATTTCGTCTAGAGTAGAGCACATATTTTGCTCTTCTTCCTCTTTTTCTCATTGAAAATATGTTTCATTCCCCATTTTTCCGCCATGCTCTAATGATTTTCCTCCTCTCTTTTCTTTTCTAATGTTTCTGAGACTTCACATAAAGTTTAAATTGAAGGAAAAATCATTAAAAAGAAAAAAAAAGACTTTGGACGAGGGTGGGAGTTGAACCCTCGATGTGAGATTGGTGGGCAAAACTGTAAACCAGTAGGCTAACGCGCATACAGGAATATAGGCCCCGGTTGTCGTATACCACACACCGGGTTTCCTTTTCGTTTCCTGGGCGCCGCCGCGCCGCGGCGACAAGCCTGTCGGCGAGCTAGTCACGCCCGAACACCTGTGGTGTACTGGTAACATCTCTGACTTCTAATCTAGCTACCCGGGTTCGATTCCTAGGTGCTTCAAATAGTTTTTTTTTATTTTTGCGAGGACACCTGTACGCTGTTTGAAACACCCCGTTCTTTTCAAAATTCCAATTTTTTACGAACTGCAAAAGATAAAAAACCCAATTGCCAAATAATACCACAAAATTTATGGGCCTATTTGTGTCTGTGCCGACACACACTTGTTTTTTACTCTTTCTTCTTTCTTTTTTCTTGATTCTTTTTGTCTCTTTTTTCTCTCCAAGACTAGACCTCCCAACTATACAAAAGTAGGTAAAAGTGCTTGCTATTATTATTCATATAAAATTGCGAGGTACTACTAGTAGTACTAGGGAATAATTATAGGTGTCGGTGACACCATTTTGCAAGAAATTGTTTTTCGAAACGTCTAGTTTCTAGGTTCTAGGTACTTTCAATGGGTGTTCCGGGGTCTAAAATAAAAGCAAAAGAAAATAAAAGAGGTTGGGAGTCGAACCTGGGACCTGAGATTGGTAGTCAAACCTCTACGCCAATAGGCCACAGCGTCATCACCTTGATCGGCGCGCCTGCTCCCTCCGAAATCGCCGGCGCCCACCACCCTCCGTTTCTTACACGTTCTTATCCGGCTTCCACCTATTGTAACTCTGTGCCACGCGTAGCCGAGTGGCTTGCGCTTTTGCCCATCAATCTGACCCTCCCGAGTTCGACTCCTCACTACTCTATTTTCTTTTTGCTTCTTTTTATAAGCATCCTAGAGTGTTCCCTATGTCCCTAACACAGCATGGCACGAAAGTGCAAGTGTCCAAAAAGAGAAAAGAAAGCCAATCGCGCTAAAAAGCGACTGGCTTCCGGGGGGATATGCTCCCCGAGAGACTCGTTCTGATACCCCGAGCCGGCTTTTTTTGGTTGTCTTTTTGGTATATAGAGACCCTAATTGGTTTGTACTAGGATCTTTTAGTTTGGGGGCTTAAATTTGGAATTTTTGGGAAATTTTCGAAAAATTGAAATTTCCAAAATTTCAGGTTCAAAATGTTCCAGAAAAGAGGGAAGAAGCCAATAGAGAATGACTAAAAAACGCCCACTACTCTGAGTAGAAGATCCCAAATTGAATTAAAATAGGAAACAAAAAAATTTAGGAATTTTTTTGTTTCTGGTCCCTCATTAGGGGTCCATGGGGTTCAAAAAGCAGCTGTACAAATTTTAAAGAGTCCTTGAATGTTTAAATGTTTTTTTGTAATTCCCTAACTTTTGGACTACAAATTAAAAAAATTAATTTAAAAAAATTAATTTTTAATTTTTAATTTTTGTTCCAAACATTCTGTTTCTGGTTTCAATTTTTCTGAAAAATCCCTAGTTTTTTGATTTTCAAGGCCCCTATAATTGGTCCACAATAATCCCATAAAATGTCTATAAAAATAAACGTAATCTATATGGTAATTATGTGTGTCCCAAAACCACAAAAACACGATAATTGCCGCGCCTTGTACCTGCTTGTACCCTTCTCCATCACTATATAATCTCCGGATATGTACATATGTCTTTCCATTTCTTATTTTTTTCATTTTTAGGATTTGTCTCTTTAAAAAAAATTCTCTCCCGCGCCTGCCGGGCGCCCGCGCCAGGGGCCATCACCCCTCCTTTATATCCGCCCTCGCTTTTTGTAAAACCACTGGGCGGCGTGGCGGGCGCCTTTGGGCTTGTCCCCATGTCGTCTTTTGTTGCCGGTGTCCCCTCTATAACCTAGTTCTATACATTTCCTTGTCATGCTGGACTTTTTTGAGTACTTCCGATTGTTCTTGTCAATTTTTTTCTTCTCCTTATCCTGTTCCCCTCTATTTTATTCTTTCCAGGTAACAAGCACCATCAATAGGTCCGCCACCGCCCCAATATACCAAATGCCACTGCCAATTTATAAACAAGTAAGATAGTTTACAGTAGTCCATGCGCTCTAAACCCACTATTTTCAGCCAAATGAGGGTGAGGAGGAGATGAAGAAGGGCTGGGTGCGTCACGAGAAACTGTGCGCACAACTCGAGGCATGTTCGTTGGACCTGAAACAGAACGAGGCGCAAATGTCGATTCTGACGGCGACCGGTGCGGAATTGAAGGAGAAGCATAAGAAGATTCGCGGACTTTTGGATGAAGCTAAAGCTAATGGTGGGGGGAAAACGATATCTCAAAAACCAAAAGAGATATTCAAGATCTAAAAATTGGAGATTGTAGAGCATAAAATTCTACACATTTTGTTTGTTAGAAGTTTTTGATAGCTATTATAGTTTTCGAGATATAGAGCTTGGAAGTTAGTGCACCCCCTGCTGCCGACGGGATGAAGGGAGAGAGTGGGGGAAAAGGGGGAGACGCAGACAGCGCGCCATTCTCGCTTCTTTGCGTCTCTCCTGGGGTTGTAAGGGTTGTATCTCAAGAACTAGAACAGCTAGAAAAAACTTGCAATTGCAAAATGTGTAAAATGCTGTCATCTACATTTTTATATGAAATTTTTGAAAATTTGGTATCTTCTTTTCGAGCGGCGGGCCTTTGGAAAAAATAGGATTTTTTAAATATTTTTAAAACGCAAAATGCGTAAAATATTATGTTTTACATTTTTGTAGTTTACAACGTTTTTGTAGGTCCCTTGGTTTTTGAGATATGCACCTTTAAAGTAGGCGCATCCATGGATGACGCAAAGAAGGGCATCTCCAACTTTAAAGGCGCATAACTCAAAAACCAAAATGGCTAGAAAAATATTTTAACTACCAAAAGGTGTGAAATGTTTTGTTCTACATTTTTGTTGTAGATGACTTTTTGACAGCTAACTTACTTTTAGAGAGATGTGCCTTTCAAGATTGCGCACCCTTTGTCGACTTCCTGATAGTCAGGAGAAAGCAGCAAGGGGTGCGCGATCTTTAAAGGCGCATAGCTCTAGAACCAAAATAACTAGATAAAAATTGTCAACTAAGAAAATTTGTATAGTTTTGTGTTCTACATTTTTGTAGTGAACAACTTTTTTGTTGGTGCCTTCGTTTTTGAGATACGAGCCTTTAAAGGTGGGGGGACATGAGAAAAATAATGTTGTCGAAATCCCGTTTAAATATGCTCCTCAAGGTGTTGAACTTGTGAGGGCGATGATTGAAGGTGCGGCGCCGCTACCGACTGAGCCACGCGGTAGAATGCATACTCTGGCCCCAAAAATCCCCCGTAAAATCTCCTTTCCCCCCACCTTTAAAGAAAGAAGGGGCGCTTGCACCATTCTCGTACCTCTAGAAGTGCGCCCTACCTTAAAAGGCATATAGCTCAAAAACGAAAACAGTTATCAGAAAGTTGCAAACAAATAAAATGTGAAAAATTTTATGCTCTACATTTTTGTAGTTGACAACTTTTTTGTATATTTTTTGGTTCGTGAGATACGGACCTTTAAAGTAGGCTAACCCCCACAGGCGAGTAGAGGAACTTTAAAGGCGCATAACTCGAGAACCAGAATAGCTTCAAAAAAATTGACAACTAACGAAATATGTAAAATTATATGCTCTACAATTTTATAATTATAAAAACCGTTAACAAACTAATTTTCAGACCAACAAGAGGAGCTTGAAAAGTTATCAAAGGAAATCGAGAACGTGGAGACGCAGACTCGAATCTGGCTCAATGAGCTGCACGATGTGCATGACAAACGAGTGGATATTGATGTAATTTTAAATTTCATTTGCAGTAATTTCGCTCTATTGAGAATTTCCAGTGCCAAATGATTCGTCTGGGCTCGGAGGTCAAGAAGAACGAGACCTACGTTCAGTTAGCATGCATTGATATCGAGAGAATGGAGATTCGTCATGAAATAAGGTAAATTTACAAACTGTGGCTTTTAGATTTAGTCCCTATTTTTTGCTCTTTGTTCCAGATGGAAGAAATTCCTGCAAAACAGCCCGTGCAAGTAAAAAGTCACTTCATTCTTCTTCTGCAGCAATCCGTCATCGTGATATATCCCATGGAAAACGTCATCACAAATCATCCATTTTTCTTTTTTTCCTTTTTGATTTTATAACTTTTTTTTCTTTTTATTGTATCTCAAGAACTAAAAGAGCTAGCTTGAATTTTCAACTTTTCAATTGAAGCTGATAAAATTTCGAGCTTTTCATTAGTTGGAAAATTTTCAATAGCTCTTCTGGTTCTCGAGACATAGCTCTTTGAAGTTAGCCTTAAGAAGGAGACGCAGACAGCGCGCCGCTCTTGCTTCTCTGCGTCTCCCCCTTTTCCCCACTCCCTCTTCCTTTCTGTCGGCCGCAAAGGGTGCGCTAACTTCAAAGTTGTGTATCTCCAAAACTAAGAGAGGTATCGGAAAAAATTGCAATTAGTAAAATGTGTAAAATTTTGTGCTTTACATTTTTGCAGTTGACAACTTTTTTTCTATCTCTCCTAGTTTTTGAGATAACGTTAAAATACTGTAGTAATCCTATCCCTGTGCTTCTCCACACCATCCGAGTTTTCTTTAAAGTAGCTGGTTTTTCATTCCATTTCTCTAGTGATATAGTAAACCAAACAAAGGTCGACATTTGTTCTGTTTTGTCCCCCCGTGGCCTAACTTTTTCTGAAAATTCGGTCATCCCCCTCTTTCCTGTCTTTCCCTTCTATGCAACGCTTGATTCTTCTCGTTTTCATTTTCTATGTTTCAGAAGACCCAAGACATCTTTCAAGCATTTTTGTATACAAAAAAATGTTTCCTAACTTCATTTTCTCAAATTTCTCTCTTATTTTTCAATAAATCATTTATTTGGTCACTTCTATGAGATTTTAATATGCTTACCATGGTCTACAATAAAATCAAAAGAAAATAAACGAAGGTGGGAGTCGAACCCGGGACCCGAGATTGGTAGTCAAACCTGTTATCCAGTAGGCTACACTGGAGCAGCGCCTCCACCAAGGTCGGCGATGGCCGCGCCGCCGACCACCCACCACTCTCCATTTTTCACACGTTCTTATCCGGCTTTCACCTCATATCCGTATGTGGACACGTAGTCTAGTGGCTTGCACTTTTGCCCACCAATCTGACACTCCCGGGTTCGACTCCTCGCTATGCCATTTTCTTTTTTTTTTCCAATTGTTTATAGGCATCCTATATGGTTCCGAAAGTGTTTTTTTAAAATATTGTTCAGCAGTTTTTGAGAGGTTAACAACACAGAAATCGTTGGCTCTCTGCAAAAACACAAAACACCAGATCTTATCCAGTGTAATCTTTGGGGGTCATCTCTGATTTCTCTGCGTCTCTCAATCTACTCTATCTCTCACAGAAATAAAAAAAATGACCAGTTGTTGTGCTGGGTCAGGAGACACCACCTATTTTCCCCCAAATTTCCCATCAGGACATTTTTAAAAAGATTTTTATATTTTTATGATTTTTGAGATTCCGAATTTTTGTAGAATATGAAAATTCTCATCTTGCTGGCGATTCTGTTCGCCAACACCAGTTGCTTCGTACGTCTTCGGGATCCAATCACCAGGAAGTCGAAAAATCAATATTTCGAAAAATTGGGAAAATACAAATACGATGAAGGCTATTTGAAAGTTCCAATCGATCATTTTTCCTTCACCAATGACTATGAATTTGATTTGAGGTACCAGATTTTTGAAAATTCCGAAAAGTTTAGTTCAAAAACGTTTCAAGGTATTTCCTGAACACGGACCACTACGAGTCGGGCGGTCCCATCCTTTTCTACACTGGAAATGAGGGATCTCTTGAGTCATTTGCTGAAAACACCGGACTCATGTGGGATCTGGCCCCAGAATTGAAGGCAGCCGTGGTTTTTGTCGAGCATCGCTTCTATGGAAAGTCACAGCCATTCAAGTGAGTTTATCTGGAAAACTAAAAAAGATGCAGTTTTTTGACTACTACAAAAATGAAGAGCGTAAAATTTTACACATTTTGTTAGTTGAAAATTTTTTCATAGCTATAATAGGAGCCGAGATATAAGCGTTGAAAGCTGAGAGACGCGGAGAAGAGAGGAGGGAGCGCAGAGAAGGAAGAGACGCAGACAGCGCGCCACTCTTGTTTCTCTGCGTCTCTCGCCGGCTTGTAGAGTGTAGGGCTTGTATATCAAAAACTAGAAGAGCTAGGGAAAAACTTCCAATTGCAAAAATGTGTGAAATTTCATGATCTACATTTTGATGTTGAAAAATCTAGAAAATCATTACTTAGAAGCGTTGTATCTTCTGAAAAAGTAAATATTTTAATAGAGTTTTATAGTTTAAAATGTGTAAAATTTCCTGCTTTACATGCTTGTAGTTGACAACTTTTTTCTAGGACTTTTGGTTTTTGAGATATGCGCCTTTAAAGAATGCTTGCACCCACAGGGAACTTTAAAGGCGCATAACTCAAGAACCAAAATGGCTAGACAAAAGTTTTTAACTAACGAAATGTGTAAAATTTGATGATCTACAATTTGATGTAAACATTCTTCTAAATGTTGCAGAAACCAATCCTACACCGACATCCGCCACCTTGGATACCTCTCTTCTCAGCAAGCCTTGGCAGATTTCGCCCTTTCAGCTCAATTTTTCAGAAATGAGGTTAACCACTTTTTCATATTTAATTTTATAAACTTTTTACAGTTTTCAGAAGATCAAAGGAGCCCAAACATCCGCAGTGATCGCTTTCGGAGGATCCTACGGTGGAATGTTGTCGGCTTGGTTCCGTATCAAGTATCCACATATTGTGGATGGGTGAGTCTAAAAAAATTTGAATTAGAAATACGTAAAATTTTATGAGCCACTTTTTTGTAGTTGACCACTTTTTGATTGCTTTCTTGGTTTTTGAGATATAGAATTTTTCAACAAAAAATTGCTTTTTTAAAACGATTGTAACTCAAGAAACAAAAACGCCAGCTTAATAAATTTTAACTGCAAAATGTAGCTTTTAAAATTTTACACATTTTCGTTGTTGACAATTTTTTTCTAGCTTTCCTAGCTTTTGAGATATAGAGCTTTGAAGTTAGCGCACCCTTTGCGGCCGATACGAGGATAGGACACAGCCCGGGAAAGGGGGACACGCCGAGAAGCGAGAGCGGCGCGCCGTCTGCGTCTGAGCGTGCGTTAACTTCAAAGAGCTATGTCTCGAGAACTAGAAGAGCTATCAAAAATTTTTCAACTAATGAAATGATCAAAATCTTATGCTCTTTTAACTGAAATTTAAAAAGTTTCGATAGCTACTCTAGTTTTGAGGAATAATCAAAGCAAGATTTCAGAGCCATCGCCGCGTCGGCACCGGTTTTCTGGTTCACCGACTCGAATATTCCAGAGGATGTTTATGATTTTGTAAGTTGGAATTAATCAATTATCGATTTTCAACCCTTCATTTTAGATCGTAACTCGCGCGTTTTTGGATGCCGGATGCAACCGGAAGGCTGTCGAAAAAGGATGGATTGCGTTGGATGAGTTGGCGAAAAGTGATAGTGGACGACAATACCTGAATGTTTTGTATAAATTAGACCCGAAATCAAAATTGGAAAGCAAAGATGATATTGGATTTTTGAAGGTGAAAAAATTTCTAATGTTTTGATAGTTGGAAGATTTGAGGTAGCTTGAATGGGAGCTGAGATATAAGCGTTGGAAGTTATGTCGACTTCAACGCGTTATATCTCATGAACCATAAAAGCTATCAAAAGTATGTCAACTATTTAGGTTGGCAGGAAAGTAACTGTCCATTTTTTATTAGTAAATAACACAAACACAAGAATAGTCCAGAATTAGCAATATGCACCGTCGTGATCCACAACATGTTGGCAATGTTCAGGTAACTTGTGGGTACCATCCCTCTAAAAGCCAGCTAGTGGCAAGTCAAAGTATCCCTCCAGTCCATTTTTTCAGGCATCAATTGTGTTAAAGTCCTTAAGCTCCAGATGACGTCGTATACTTTTGAATAACTAATGATCTGATAGAGCTGAATCAAGTCTTTAAAGGTGGGGGGACATGAAAAAAATAATGGTCTCGAAATTCCGTTCAAAGATGCCCCTCGACTGAGCTACGCGGACAAAGAGAAAGCGCACGCCCGATTGCATACATAAAGGCGAGGACGACAGCTGTACGCAGAGTGACATTAAGCGTTGTACACCGTCACGGTAGAATGCATACTCTAGCTACAAAAAAACTACGAAAAATCTCCTGTCCCCCCACCTTTAACGGGGGTAAAGGAGAACCGTCCAGCCAAAGCGGCTCAGGTAAGGCGTGACTTTCCGTGAACATGAGGTTTTTTTCATTTTTTACCTGCAGTCAAGTCAGACCTGAGCAGCTTCATTGGGACCGTTCTCCCTCACCTACTTATAGTCCCGACTGAGCTCTATCAGATTATTGAATATTCGGAGAGATACAACCTCATCTAGAGAATACGAAAATTTGCACCATTTATGTGAAAAACAGGAAAAATGAATACTTTGATTCGTGGCTAGCTGGCTTTTGAAGGTATTGTATCCACAAGTTATCTGAACATTGCCAACGTGTCGTGGACCACGACGGTGCATACTGCTAATCTTGGATTAATCATGCTTTTGTATTATTCACAAATAAAACAAGGGACAGTTACTTTCCTGCCAACCTAATATTAAAAGGTGAGCATAACATTTAACATATTTTAATAGTTAGCAAAATTTTAATAACTTGAATGGTCTTTAAGATATAAGCATTTGAAGTTGAGGCAAGTGAGGCGTCAGCAAGCTGATCTGGTTTCAACGCGTTATATCGTAAGAACCAAAACAGCTATTAAAAATATCCAAACTAAAAAAAATAGAGCATTAAATTTTACACATTTTGATAGTTAACACAATTTTGATAACTTCAATGGTCCATGAGATATAGGCGTTTGAATTGAGAAACACACCTGTCCTCCAAGGCGCGCAGACTTTTACGCGCTATGTCTCAAGAACCAAGTTTCAAATGAAATCCTAGAGTTCATAAAATTTCAAACATTTCATTAGTCGAAAGTTTTTTGATAGCTCTTCTAGATCTCTAGATATAGCCTTTTGAAGTTGACGCACTCTCGAGACGCAGACGGCGCGCCGCTCCCCCTTCTCTGCGTCTCCCCTCTTTCCCCACTCTTTCCCTTCCTTATGTCGGCCGCAAGAGGTGCGCTAACTTTAAAGCTCCATATCTCAAAAACTAGAAACGCTATAAAAAAGTTATAAATTACAAAAATGTGTAAAATTTTGTGTTTTACACTTTTGTAGTTTACAAAATTTCGATATCTTTCCCGCCTGAAAAGTTATGGCCGCTCTAAACTTTTGTCCCCTAAAATCAATGTTAGACCCTTGAAAAGCTATGTTAAAAGGTAAAATTCCAGCAATACATTCGCGAAGCCATGGAAGCAATGGCAATGGTCAACTATCCATATCCCACCTCGTTCCTCAGCTCTCTCCCAGGATGGCCAGTCAAAGAAGCATGCAAATATGCCAATGCGCCAGGAAAATCACAAGAGGAATCCGCTGAGCAATTGTATAATATCGTGAACTTATACTATAATTTCACCGGAGACAAAACGACACACTGTGCAAACGCCGCAAAATGTGATAGCGCTTATGAAGCACTAGGAGACCCGCTGGGTTGGCCATTCCAGACATGTACCGAGATGGTGATGCCATTGTGTGGAAGTGGATACCCGAATGATTTCTTCTGGAAAGATTGCCCATTTACTACGGAGAAATATGGAGACTACTGCCAACAGACGTGAGTTTTTTGTTTTTCACAGAAAACGGTTATATCTCAGAAGCCATGGAAGATCCTAAAACTATGTTTCCATCAAAATGTAGATCACAAGATTTTACATATTTTTGCATCTGGAAGATTTTTGATAGCTCTTCTATTTCTCGAGATATAGCGTTTTGAAGTTGGTGCAGAGGGAGACGCGCCGCTCCTACTTCTCTGCGTCTCTTCCTTCCCCCACTCTCTCCCCTCCTCCTATCGGCCGCAAGGGGAGCGCTAACTTCCAAGCTTTTTATCTCAAGAACTAGGAAAGCTACAAAAAAGTTGTCAATTACAAAAATGTATAAAATTTTGTGCTTTACATTTTCATAGTTGATTAAAAATGTGTAGCTCTTTTACTTTTCGAGATATGCTCACTTGAATTCTAAGCACTTTTTTCGTCATAACTTCTTGCGAGCTCAACATTTTTTGACCAAATAAACAGTATACGATTTAAAATTTTACAAACTACAATATGTTTATTTTCAGCTTCTACAAAATCGGTTACAACAAAACGCTACTTCGTCCATTAGCCGGTGGTCGTGCATTCGGCGCCACCTCCCTCCCATCCGCTTCCAATATCGTTTTCTCCAATGGGTACCTGGATCCATGGAGTGGTGGTGGTTACGATCATTCCGACCGCGTTCAGGGATCAGTGATCAGTGTGATTTTGAAGCAAGGAGCCCATCATTATGATCTACGCGGTGCCCATCCACAGGACACTGAGGAGGTGAAGAAAGTGAGAGCCATGGAGACGTCAGCGATCAAAAAGTGGATCAAGGAGAAGGCGAGACGATCGATTTATTGATTTTTTAAGTCATTTTTAATATAATAAATTTTGAGCATATTTCCCTGTCGATCTTGTTGCCTCGTTTCCCAAGACGCTCAGTTTGAAGCATTTTATCTCAGAAACTAACAGTCCAAGCAAATTTTTTATTTATTTTCAAAATATGAAAAATGTTATTTCCTAAATTTTTGTAGTTTAAAACTTTTGTCTAGCTCTTTTAGTTTTTGAGATATAACGTTTTCAAGCTTAACACTTTTCTTTGAGTATATCTCAAGAACTAGAAAAACAAGCTTAAATATTCAATTATTCAATTGAAGCTGTTGAAATTTCAAACATTTCATTAGTTGAACATTTTGCAATAGCACTTCTGGTTCTCGAGATATAGCCTTTTGAAGTTAACGCACGCTCAGACGCAGACGGTGCGCCGCTCCCGCTTCTCTGCGTCTCCCCCTTTCCCCCACTCTCTTCCCTCCTCCTGTCGACAGCAAAAGGTGCGCTAACTTCAAAGCTTTATATCTCAATAACCAGTAGAGCTAGAAAAACGTTGTCAACCACAAAAATGTGTCAAATTTCGTGCTTTACATATTTGTAGTTTACAAAGTTTTGATATCTATTACCAATAAAAAGTTACAAGCGCTCGAAAAAGTTTGGTGCCAAAAAAACCGTTGAAAGCCTATATCTCAATAACCAGTAGAGCTAGAGAAAAGATGTCAACTGCAAAAATGAGTCTCTAGTTTTGTTCAATGTACTCTGAAATTTTCAGAAATATCCAATGAAAATTTTCTCGAAAAATTGTCCAGTTTTATACAGAAAATGCACAAAAATCGTGTTTTGAAGAAATTGAGCACACAATGTAATTGTCAAGAAAGGGGAATCGATAAACAAAATAAATTCTTTTGTGGGTTAATTTTTTCGGGGATTACAAAGAAATCTGAGGGGTCTGGTGGTTAAAGCTAAACTTATTATTGTAGATATGAATTTGTTAAAACTAGGTCAATCGATAATTCATTATTATTCAAATTTAGTCGTCGGCGGGCTGAGGTGTGGATGGCCCTGGTCTTCGGACTCCGAGCGAACGACGCCGATGAAGAATGGACGGGTGGTTCGGGATGGGCGGCTGGAACAGGTTTTGGTAAAAAGAAGACTTGGTTAAAGGAATGTTGGGTGTGAGCGCACTGGCGCCCGCCACGCCGCACGGTAGTTTTCAAAAAACGGTTTGCGTATATAAAGGGGAGAGGGGTGGCGCCGCCATTGCGGCAAGTCGATTGCAACGAAACGAAATTCCATCAAATTAGAAAGGTCCTAACTTTAAATTAATTAATCTCGATTCCTGTTAGAGATATCAAAAAGCGGTCAACTAATAAAATGTTTGTCATAATCTATTTGACATTTTTCTAGTTGACAAAATTTTGATATCTCTTATAGGAATTGTGATAATTGAGCTCAGAGAAAATGTCCCAGAATCTTACCTTATTGTCTCTAAAGGGTTCTCTTCTTCCTTCTTCTTCTCTTCTTCCTTTTCTTCCTCTATTTTCTTCACTTCCAACTGTCCAGTTGTCTCATTAAACCGCTCCACTAGAGTAATAGCCGGCTCAAAAACTGACGTCTTCTTTCTCAACGTCAACTGATTCTCATCAGATTCATCGTCTTCGATGACGTCATCTAGAACGTGATGTTGGAATTGATGCTCACTTCCACGTTTTCCGGATGACAACTGCGGTTGGCTGGACGACGTGTCGATGCGTTTCGCAGAGATGTCTTCTCCAGAATTCACGAATGCTGAATTCGTGAAGGAGTTGTTGTTGGCCGGTGAGCCACCGTCGCTTTTGCCCTGTGATTGGTCAAATTCCATGTTTTCTAACATTCCATGGGAGAACGTTTTTCGACCCAAGTCGTCGTGTAGATGGGGCTTCGAGAATGATCTGGAAAAGGTATGGTTGGAAAAACGCTTATATCTTGAAAACCAGTTAAGCTATCAAAAATATGATAAAAAATAAATTGTAGAGCGTAAAATGTTACACATTTTGTTAGTTGACAATTTTAAGATAGCTATTTTGGTTTTTGAGATATACGCCTTTAAAGATCGCAGACCCCTTGCCGCCGCCTCCTTCTGATAGTCAGGAGGAGGCGTCAAGGGTTTTAAGGATGCTACTTCGTTAAAAGTTCTTTTTGATAGCAATTACAACTTTGACCAACCTCTCGATTTTGTTCTTGAAACTTCGGAACATTTCAATATTGCCCAATGATGTCCTAGTTCGATGGCCGTGGTGATGGTGTTGTTGGTCGGATGGTCTGAAGGTTCAAACTACAAAGAATTCAAAGATATCCGGCTCACTTGACAGGTACAACTGAAACCCGTCTCCTCCTCATCTCGTCTCCAGGCACCAGCGGCGACGTATCATCACAATGTGGCACCATTTTAATCTCATGAACGTATTCCGGAAGTTTCACTTCAGACACTGATCCCTTCAGAGGGTTATTTGGAATCTTCGCTGTCTCTTCAGAATACAATGGCTCGACTTCCTCATCCCAGAAGTCGTCTCTCTTCAGATCTGGGGCACGATCGTATCCTTGATCAACCATCATGAGGACCATTGTGATATTTCTGTCGATTAAAGCGTTACACTCAAAATCATCGTCGTCTTCTCCGAATGGATTCAGCATTGCTTCGGCGACTTTCATCCATCCCATATAGAAAATGAATTGAAGGGTGGACATGATGGGGAAGTATAAGTCGATCTGGAAGTTTAAAAGAATAAAGTCCAAAAAATTCTGATCAGTTTGCAACAAAAATCAGGTTTCTAGATCAATTTTGAAGAGAGTTATGAGCCAAGTTGTAATAATGGCGCGGTCGGCTGGAGGTGGTTGTAGGCGCGCGCGACAGAAGGGGAGCGGCGCTGTCGCGTGCACCGACCGCGTCTTCATTTTTACAAATTCATCGATAACTTTCTTCAAAACTATTGTTTTTGAAATCTGAAAATTGTGTTGAAAATTGGAAAACTTGCTCTTCTTATTGGTTTTGTCTAAATTTACAAATGCTCGGATTTTTGGATTCACTACTTCAAAAAATTATTGAGATTGATATAGTATAATGAAGCCTAAACAATATTCATCATTTTGCAACAAAAATCAAGTCTCTAGCTCAATTTTGAAGGGAGTTATAGGTTATAATGTAAACTTGAGGGCGC